CGATGACCACGGAACTATCATTCTTGGCAGCGGTGTGTACCGTATTGGTAGCTCCGTTGAGTTCGATTGGTGCGCTGTTAATGCCACTCTCTCCCTCCGCGAGATGGGCAAGAAGACCGTTATGATCAACTACAACCCCGAGACCTACTCCACTGACTTCGATACCGCTGACAAATTATACTTCGAGGAGCTCAGCTACGAGCGTGTCATGGATATTTATGAGCTCGAGGCCGCTAGCGGCGTCGTTGTCTCTGTCGGTGGTCAGCTGCCTCAGAACATTGCTCTTCGTCTACAAGAGAGCGGTGGTGCTACTATTCTGGGTACCAACCCTCTGGACATTGACAAGGCCGAGGACCGTCACAAGTTCTCCTCTATTCTCGACAGCATTGGTGTCGACCAGCCCGCCTGGAAGGAACTTACCTCTGTCGCTGCTGCTGAGACTTTTGCCGACACTGTTGGTTACCCCGTCCTGGTTCGTCCCAGTTATGTCCTGTCCGGTGCCGCCATGAACGTCATCTACAGTGTCGATGAGCTCAAGGAGAAGCTTCTTAACGCCGCCGCCGTTTCCCCTGACCACCCCGTCGTCATCACTAAGTTCATCGAGGGTGCCGAGGAGATCGATGTGGATGCCGTCGCTTCCAACGGTAAGCTGCTTATCCACGCCGTATCCGAGCATGTCGAGCCCGCTGGCGTTCACTCCGGTGATGCCACCCTCGTCCTGCCCCCCGCCAACATCGAAGAGCCCATCATGGCCCGCGTCAAGGAGATCGCCGAGAAGGTCGCCAAGGCCTGGAACATTACCGGCCCCTTCAACATGCAGATCATCAAGGCCCCTCAGGATGGTGCCGAGCCCGCGCTTAAGGTTATTGAGTGTAACCTGCGCGCCTCCCGCTCCTTCCCCTTCGTCAGCAAGGTCTTGGGTACCAACTTCATTGACGTCGCCACTAAGGCTCTCGTCGGCCGTGATGTCCCCGAGCCCGTCGACCTCATGAAGGTGAAGCGTGACTACCTCGCCACCAAGGTTCCCCAGTTCTCCTGGACCCGTCTGGCTGGTGCCGACCCCTTCCTGGGTGTCGAGATGTCCTCCACCGGTGAGATTGCTTGCTTCGGTAAGGATCTGGTCGAGGCCTACTGGGCATCCCTCCAGTCCACCATGAACTTCCGCATGCCTGAGCCCGGTGAGGGTATCTTGCTCGGCGGTGATATCACCCAGCCCTACCTGGCCAAGATTGTCGAGTACCTGAACCCTCTTGGCTACAAGTTCTTCGCCGTCAACTCCGAGGTTAAGGCTCACCTCGAGTCCGCCAAGGGTGTCTCTGTGCAGGTGATTGAGTTCCCCAAGAAGGACAAGCGTGCTCTCCGTGAGGTGTTCCAGAAGTACGACATCCGTGGCTGCTTCAACCTTGCCAAGACCCGTGGCAAGACCCAGCTGGATGACGACTATGTCATGCGTCGCAACGCTGTCGACTTCAACGTGCCTCTGTTCATGGAAGCTAAGGTATGTTTAATTTGCTGTACCCATAATGATACAAGTTACTAACTTATCCTCTCTACAGACTGCCCAGCTCTTTGCTCAGTGCATGAACGAGAAGCTCCCCCGTACTGAGGGAATTCCCTCCGAGGTCCGCACCTGGTCCAACTTTGTCGGCGGCAAGGCGCTGTAAAATCTCTATTTCTTTTTGCACAAAGTGACAGATGAAGAGAAAAAAAAGCCCCCACCATGTCGAGGTAAAGAGAGACAGGAAGTCAACATCTCTTTCCGCTCGATATCCCCTATGACCTACCCAGGTCGTCCCGTCATGATTTTCCAAGGACAGGAACTAATAGTTCTGTATGGTGTAGTGGGTAGGGCAATCTTGTTGATAGATGGCGTGCATTGTCTTTTCGGCCTTTTTAATTACTGTACTCTCGGATCGGAATGTCTTTTCCTTATGAATGATTGAATTGTTCCCCATCTCTACTCTCTACTATACTTGCGAATCAACAGTGGCGTAGCCCTCATATGCCACTGATATACGAATTTGACCTTCGATTTAAAGTTAGTCCGAACGGTTAGACCTCCGATGAAACTAGACTTCGCTGGCTTAAAAGCTCTTTATTCCGACGACTTCTTCGCGTACGAAGGGGGATGTCGACTTTTAATACTCGACGGACATAGAAGCCATTTAATCCTAAAATTCGATGACATTTATGAGCGAAATAAGGTGATACCGATCTATATGCCACCTCACTCCTCTCGCCCTTTATAACCTCTCGATATTAGCTGTTTTACGGTATTAAAATGATTATATAGTCGGCTAGTTAAGACGAAAATGCGGAATTTTTAACCGTATCGATAAACTTAACTTCCTGGAAGTATACCTACTCCATCGCACGAATTAAAGCCTTCAAATCGGAGACTATTAAAAATAACTTCGGAGCAGCTGGTTTAGTACCTTTTAAACCCAATCGAGTGATCTCGAAGCTAAATATTCGTCTTCGAACACTAACCCCTCCGAGCCGGGGGAGCGAATTAAGCCGGAATTTTACACTAAAAACACTAGCTATAGAGAAAGAACTACGTCGATAGGCTTCGTTAATCAAAGCTTTACTTCGTATAAGATCTCGAAGTCTACTAAGCCCATCAGATCGTGCATTAAACCAGCTTATAAAGGGCGTACGTCTTATAATGTAAGGTGCTATCTTACTCGCTAAAGAAAATAAGGAATTACGCGCCGCTAACGAGAAGCAAAAGTAAAAGCGGGCTAGATCCCGGAGGCATATACCCTCCGAAGAAGGTCTCTCAGTTAAAGAAACCTCTGCATTAATTATGCAGCAACAGGAAGTGAAGCACCTCCCCCCGGACCCGGCATACCTGGAGAATCGGCTATTCAGCCATGTACGCGGCCCCCGGGGTGTGGAATATGTAGATTGCCAGGGCATAGAAGAGAAACATGTCCAGATAGACCACTTAGTTAAGTTAATCAATTTAATGGTGTTATGGTTGGGATAAATGGATTTAAATAATGTAGACTGGTAACTAGTGGCGGCTCGCTTGTGGTGCTTGTGAAATACGTTACTCGGTGCATATGCCCAGGGCCCGTAAGGGTAGATTCAGGGGCGCAGTAGCCTTGCTGGCACATACTAGCGGGGCTTGAGCCTCCATGTGGGCGCCAATTAGAAGAAGGTCGATGTCTCACTTGGGCTCTGATAGCAATTTTTGCCGGCCCTTACGATCAATCGTAATCCAAGCTTCATTTATCTTTTAGCCTTTATTTCCCCACTGGTTATTGCCTTTAACTTCTTCACTTTCAACCTACATCGCCTATCTAGGTCATTGCCGATGTTTATAGGCCTCTAGGTCTCCAAAGTTTACTTCAACTTGTCTTGGGGTTTTCATCACTCTTGAGCCAAATTACATGTCACCGCTAGGCTCCAACTGCTAGTACATTATAATGTAGCGCTAGTACGGCTGAAGCCCGTGACTCTTTTTTGGGGAGCCTGTTGAGGCTAGTCGCGACGCAGACTCGGCGGTTTTGGTTTTTTCCCCTCTTGCTTCCTGACTCATTTTCCTCTGCTTAATCCCATTTCTCTCTGTTTTTACACTGATATCACTCATCTTCGAATATCGCAAACATGCGCCCATCTTGGTTCCTCGTTTCTACCTTAACAGCTCTGGCTGCAGCCGATGAGGCCGGCACAACAGTTATCAACTATTTCGGAGTCGCGGATCCTGTTAACGGCTTCGCCCTCGGCGACTACACCAGCACCGTAGCTCGAGTTGTTGCCATTGGCAAGTACGCCACGACCTACGAGATAGCCTGCCTGAAAGACGCATCTCAATGCGGATTGCACCATCCTGCAACCATTGTCCAGGGCCCTACCACTTACAGCGCCTCTATCGAAGTCACTGAGTCTACCGGCGGTGCTGAGGCTGTTGCAACCGGCATCGAGCAATGTAGCTTCACCCGCGTTTCTGAGTCTGTTGTCTGCATGTGGAGTGTTGCATACACTGCCTCGCAAGGTGATATCACCATTTCCGATTCCTTCTCTAGCACACAGTCCATCCCTGCGTCTTCGGTTAGCTATCATCCTCTTACTGTCACTGATGGCGTCTACGCTTTGACGGGTGATGCGACGGCTTCGGTCTCTGGCGTGAAGGTCACTCCTACCGCTTCTGGCATGAAGGTCACTCCTACCGCTTCTGACGTGAAGGTCACTACTACCGCCTCTAGTGGGGATGCGGCGGCTTCGGCTTCTGGCGTGAAGGTCAATCCTACTGTTTCTAGCGGTGCCGCTGCCGGTGCTGCAAAGCCTTTGATTACTGCTGCGCCGCTGGGTGCTGCTGCTCTTGCGGCTTTTGCGGCTATGATCTAGAGCTTGAGCTTGGTTCTTTTCATGTCTGATGGTTAGTTGGTTGGGGATTGAGTCCCTGGGTCTATGCACTTGAATGAGCTATGCTATATATATGCCTAATAATTTACTCAACTCGTAGTTTCGGATCTGATTTTCTCGAGCTACAAAACCTTTGAAACCTTTGAATTTTGACCCAATTTGTATTTCTGCTTAGAAGAATTTGTAGTTCTCCGGCATCTATGCAGAATTTGATTGCCTGCATTCATATCTACATCACCATTTTGCATACAGATAGAGTGGACTTCCAGCTTAGGTTGGACTCTCTCTCTCTCTCTCTCTCTCTCTCTGTGTGTGTGTGTGTGTGTGTGTGTGTGTGCCCGCTTTCATCCCTGGGCTTGGCTTGTATAATGTAGGATAGTAGCCACTACAGTGACAAAAATAAAAAGCTGGCAAGTAACTTCTAATTAGTATGCATCTAAACCACCAGAGAAATTTCAGGATCTTCTGATGAAACTGCTCTTTGTATGTGAGAGATTCTATCAATCCTCTCTCAATGCCAAGAGATTCAAATAGCATGACGAATATTCACCGCCCCACGTGGACGATTATCCACTCTGATCGTATATCTTCAAACAAGTCTTATTATCATAATCAGATCATACACAATGGCATCAAGAACTGCACTACCTTCGGTGACGACTAGGACCGTCCCACAGTCTGCCCCCAATGGCATGGGGAATGGCCTGTTTGCGACAACTGACATCAACCCCGGTGAAGATGTTTTGCACATCAAAACACCATTTGTGGCGGTTCTTGATTCTCCACGTTTAGAGGACACATGTGCTGGCTGCTTCGGAAAGAGACAGATGGAAACTGGAAATGAGTTGAAGGCTTGCACGGGATGTCGTGTCGTTAAATATTGTGACCGGGTGAGTTGCTATGACGATAGATCATTTGCTGTTTGATATTTCTCGTCCTACCCAAGACTATGTCTCATTTGATCTTTTAAGCTTCTAATGCTTGATTACTAGGCGTGTCAATCTAAGGACTGGAAGTTTGCGCATTCTCTTGAATGCCCCATCTTCAAAAATGTCAAACCCATGGTGCTTCCCAATAATGCCCGTGCTCTTCTACGTATAGTGCTGCGCACTGCACGTAACAAGTACGATTCTGAAGAGACCAAGGTCTTTGATGGCTTGGAAACTCATATCAATGAGATTTCGGAGAGCCAAGGCCAGCTTGATAGATTAACTTGACAGCGAGAGCTGTCAAGAATTACCTCAGGCACGGACATTGATGAAGGAACTGTCTCTACTTATGCTGCAAAGGTAATTTTCTCAGTCTTGCACCTCTTGACTCGCGAGACTTTTCATCTAACTATCATTTCAAGTTGGATCTCAATTCCTTCAACCTCACCACTTCTATGTATGATCGCATTGGCCTCTACATGCATCCATATGCCGGGTTGATTAATCACAGCTGCGACTACAACTCCACCGTTGGATTTGACGGTGAAGAACTGTACGTCAAGGCTATGCGCTCCATCAAGAAGGGCGAGCAAATATTCATCTCCTACATCGATACCACAACACCATACGACATCCGTCGCAATGAACTAGAAAGAACGCTACTTTTTTGACTGCCAGTGCACAAAGTGCGAGAATGGAGCGGAAACAATTGAAGATCGGTTCTTGTCTACACCTGAAGACATGACGCCCTCTAGAGACAGCAGAGCGCGAAGCCCTGGAGCTCATGCAAAAAGCAACCGCAACCAGTACGGAGCCAGCAGACGCAATCGAGAAGCTGGAAGCTGCTATGCATAAGCTCCATGAAACCTCCATATGGCCTCCTCACCCGTCAGCCATATGCTTCTCTCCGCGATAAGCTGATCATATCTCTGCTGACGGCTGGTAACTTCACCCGGGCATTCATCCACGCTGTGATTAGATACCTGCGGATCGATCCTGTTGTCTATGACAAGGCTCACCCCATCCGACACATTCATGCATGGAGCCTAGTCAGGCTTACAGTCTTCATTTCCCAGGAGGGCTTCCAACCTGACCCCAAAGACCCTGTCCAGCTTCATGACTTCAAGCTGAACTATCACTACTTGATTTGGTATATTCTCGCTGAACTTACTAGCACGCAGTCGGAGAGCTGCACTGTGCCCAGCTTTAAGAAGCTTGTTGGAAATCAATTTGTACAGGTTCACAATGAGTTCAAGGCCAATGGCCTTGATCCTAGCAAGAACAAGGCTGTTCTGTCTGCTGAGTGGAACAAGCTTGAACACCTTGTCAACAAGGCTCTAGAGAAAGAGTGAAGTACTCTGAGGTCCATTGTTTATTTTACTCAAAATTTGATACTACCACATGGCCAGGCTTACTGGGATAGATCGACCACCCTATATAACAAAAAGTAGTCACCAGGTCTCTCATCTCTTATGCCCGAAATAGCAGGAACGATCCGAAGTTGATGCCGATTGTACACCCACTTCACCCAGCCGGTCGACCCTTCAGACAGGCTGGGGACTATATAAATAACTCCCAGCCCTTTTCTCTTCTCTTCTCTTCTATTCGCCTCCACGTTCGTCTTCGTTTTTCATTGCCGGCAAAAGCAATTCGATACCGCGAACAACTGGCAAATGAATGCCTTTGAGATGGCTTCCTTGACCAACTGGTCCATGGAGAATGGACCTCCGAGCCGCCGCTCCACTGGTGAGGGTCGTGCCGCCCCCGAGACCAATAGCTCCCCCCCCACTACGGGGGGGGCAGGTGTCGGGCTGCATCCCCCGTATTGCCGCCATTAGGACCCCGGTGATTTCCCCTGGTTACCAGCAGATCCCGGGGTACGGAGCCCACCGTCAGCGACAGGAGGCTCGCGCGCTTATGGGCTCGATTGCGGAGCGCCGGGGAAAGAACATCCCCGCCCTAATCTTAATCCGTGGCGATGTGCCTAGTCCCCTGTCGCGCCGACAACGTTGGTAAGTCACTTTTATTTCATTCTTACTCCTTGCAGATTTCTCATGTCTTCACTTCAACATGTTCTCGCTTTATTCTCACTTCTTTCTTACTTCACATGTTCTACCTGGAATGAACTTTGTTTTACTTCGTTTGGGTTGGACTCAGCTGACTTTTGATTCTGATAGGGTCCCTGGGTGCCGCTTATGCCGGTACCTTTGCCGGAGCCAGAGCTCAGCAGTTAGCCAATGAGCGAACTCGGACGTCATCTGGGGGAGCTTTCTGCTGGTGCTTTTGGTGAAGACGGTAATGGGGGTTTCTGTGGTATGGGATTTGGTTCTTAAGGGGCTGGCTGCCCATTGATGAGACTTATCTCTGATTTAGTCTTCAGTTCTGGATGCTAACATTTTGACATACAGGTATGATTGCTTTAAGTTCTGCTCTCCGGATCTGACCACCGGGTACGAGCTCATCAAGTGGTGAATTTATCTCTTCCGCATATAACTCGATTCCAACAGCTAATTCATCGATGTACAGTTGGAGTTGCTATTTATTTCCAAGTCTTGGATTGATCTCCATACGAGCTGCACGTGGAATGGTAAGCCTAATCTCTCCCATCTATTTTTCAGTCTCTGATTGTCAAAGACCAAGGTCGCCTCTTCACCGTGTGATATCACCTTCCATTATTGCCAGCCTTCATACGCGAGTACCCATGCACTATCCTCCTTTCGATGCCCCGCCCTCTTATACCCTATAGCAGTTCACATGTGGGACTGCCGAGGGCTGTGATGCTCTTGCAACGTGTAGCCCGGATATTCTCGAGGAAGGTCTGAACGGACCGAAGTTTTTGACAATCCGTTGATGATTTGTCGACAATTGAGAGGAACTCCGAACACTTCCATCCATATCGACTGCTGTGGGTGTGACTTACCGCCTACACAACTCCCAGTTGTATGTTGGATCAAGCACCCAAAGTCTTCTGGGCGCTATGTTGATCATGGTATTCTATCCAAGCAAATTGAGGGCATCAATTTACCCGATGGTCGACATTTACCTAATGGTAAGAGGGTGATGTATATTTAATGCTATGCCAACATGTATGGGCTTGTGTCATCGTACAGGCAGATTGCAATTTTTCCAGAGAATCTAGCGATCGATGTTCCATATGCGGATACGGAATTTCTATTTCGCCTGCTTGAGCAAAGGCGACTTCGGACTCGAGAGAGAAATTCCACCTCCCACCAAATATCCGTTTGGATGCAGTTAAATCTATCAAGTGTGATCAAAGTAGAAGACTTTATCTGAGGAAATTCCGAGGCCGTCAAACCTCGGCTGCACCCCATTTCTTCACCCCCTCTTTCGACACCACGTGAATCCTCTTTTGGTCAGGACGCCAATTCGAGGGCATTTCTACCGCGTGACCTGTGCCTCTTCTGGCTCTATATGTATTTCGCCAAATAAAAATATTATCACTGTTCCATCTATCCTGATCGTAGGTTTTGAATATAGAACTGGAGGCTGCTTTGTTGTATACATTCCATGTTCAGTTTCTACAACCTCAGTAGGTGAGAGCGAAGCCCTAATTTTTTTTAGCAATCGCCACAATTCAATTTTTCTAAGCTTTTTCCGTGAACACCAGTCGACCAGATTACCTTCGATGTTTTGAACTAGGTTCCAATTTACATGGCCGTCGGGAATAGGCAAGATTGCCCGGATGAGCTTGATCCTTTTCCCATCAATATCCCATATGACAACATTCAAATTTATAATATCATGTCCATCTACTAATATTGGTAAATACAGGAATAGAAGGCAAAGAATCAATCACGCACACAAAGCTGCTCTATATACAGTGTACAAAACTCAAGTCATAAAATGTATCCACATCAGACTTGTTCGACCTCCAATCTCATTGGCAGCCTCGCCGTTAGGCATCTCGCCATTTCGGCCCGCGATAAACTCACGGTCTAAATTCCCTCGAGACGTCTACGCTCTGCAGGGGGAAGAGAACCACGCGTCGTAGCCAATGAGCGCTCGACATGTTCCCAGCGGACGAGATGATACCCTCATGCCAGCTCGTCTGCATCAGGCTCAGTGCCGTTAGCCACCGGGGCCGCGGCGTTGTTCGCACCGGTAGGTCCCTTGCCTCGAGCTGGCGCTGGCGGCGACGCGATTTTTTAATTGCCTCCAGTTTGGCTGCGATCACTGCTGGGGTGGCATGGAGACAGACCCGGATGCTTCTTCCGAAGAAGAGTAGAGGGAACTGGATCAAGATTTGCTAGAGAAGCACTGGCGGTGTTGGACTTGGCACCGGGCTTTGGCTGTATCAGTAGAACGGTCAACAAGCGCACTGTGGACTGCCTCTAGATGGGCGTTGTACAGCCGACAGCCTGCAGATCTGCACCAGAGAATCCATCGGTCTCGGTGGCAATACTCACTAAAGCGAGGTGACTTCGTCACTCATCTTGAGCTTTTCGCTCACTGAGCGGATGATATCAACACGGTCCTCTCGTGGGTTGGCATGCCACAAAGCGGGACTTGTCGAGACGGCCAGGACGAAGGAGGGCAGGATCGATCAGGTCTGGCCGTGACGTTGCTGCCAGCACATAGACGCCGGAGAGGCCTTCTGCGCCGTCCATTTGTGTCAGAAGCTGGTTGACAACACGGTCCGTAACTCCAGTGGAGTCGTGACCACGCTTCGGTGCGATACTGTCGAACTCATCAGAAGAAGAGGACGCAAGGGCGAGCGGCTTGGGCTCTCTCGAACAAATCACGAACACTCTTTTCACTGGCTCCGATATATTTGTTTGAAATCTCGGGACCCTTGACACTGATGAAATTCCAATCCACACTCGCCAGCCACTGCGCTGGCCAGCATTGTCTTACCACATCCAGGGAATCCATGGAAGCAAACCAGACCGCAGTCGCAATGGGCACTGTGCAAAGATCGGGGCATATTTTGTAGGATACTGCAAAGTTTCCAACAGCATTTTGCGAGTTTCCAAACGACCTACAGAGGAAAATGTGGTTGTTGACGAGGTAAGAGTGACGTTTCGAAGAGATGCCCGGAGTAAAGTCGCTTCAAAAGCACTTTCAAAGTTGCCTCTAGCCGAGAGTGATCATCTTTGATGTGGCTGTCAGATCGGCAGACCAAGCGAATGAGAGCCTCATTGCGCGCACGAGCAACAAGTAGCACAAGATCACCAGGCATATAGCCATCGGACTTGCCAGCCAGCTCTAGATACTCGACATCCTTCCCAATAACAAAGCCATCACCCCCAGAAGAGCTCGGTCGGCTCCCCGGGTTTGAAGGGTCCAGCCACGAGTCTTGTGTTGAGGAGCTTGTGGCCCTCATATGTCCGTTTGAGATTTCCGTAGGTTTATCCTCGCTAGTGCTTTTTCAAAACCCTTCGGCGTCCTTCCTTGTCAGGTGCTCTCATATTGATGATCTCACGGACAACGTGGCCGC